GCCAGCAGCGCGGATGAGTCATCTAGTGTTTATATATATCTATGGTCCCAATGGCCTTATTTTTGCCGGAGGACCGAGGAGCGATAATGGAGGAGCTATAATCGAGGAACCACCAGACCATCCTTCGATGAAATCCTCAGACACTCGCCCCGCCCCCTTACTGTGTATCGCTCACTGATTGGACGATGCAGTGCATGCACTGATCTGATGCTTCTTGACATGAGAGCAGTTTCCCAGCGGAGTGAAGAAAATACATGAACCTCACGGGAGTCACTCCTCAGTTTATACCGTGTTTTGTTTCAATTAATGTATCATTTAGTTACAAATATGTGATGTATCTGAAAAACAAAGTGTGCAATCCAATGAATGTTAATCTAACTGGGTTTTAATAGATAACATATCTCTTTTTCTTTTGTAGGGGCAACGCAGCATTACACTTACAGAAAACACCAAAGTTAAGCTAAACGATTGTAACTCACTTGGTAAAGTTGAAATCCAGTTTCATGGTATCTACACACACATTGTCCGTGCCGCAGTTGATCTCAAACCCTAACTGTGGAAGAGAGAATGAAGTAAAACACGTTTGTTTAGAAAGATTAGACACCACATTTAAAAGTCGGACATCCATGAAATAACAATTGACTGGTGTTAAGAAGGACACTGAAGCGTTGTTAAAATAATATTCTGACAGACAATGAAGACAATGTGTAAGACGTGTTAGCATCCCTTTACTTACGCGATGAAACGTTGTTGTCTGAGCCTGCAGGGCGAGACTCGGCCTGAGCCTTTGGGCAGACGGCAATCCTTCAAAGGTGAATTTGAGTTCATTGTCCAGCGCATTGAGAGAATCTTCTGGACAAGCCTGCAAGACGAGGGCACTATTATGAAATGTTTTTTGTCAATGCAGCGTGGGTTGAACTCATCGGCATCAAACATGGCATTTGTCAGCATTTTGTATTTCTAACAACTCACCTCAACTAAGAATTGTTCTGTGTTGCATGTCTGCCTAGTCAGGTCGAGAGAAATGTTTCTAGACACCTCTCGTTTTTTCCCAACAACGTAAGCTCGGTTGTTTGGGACTTTGCGGGTGGCATCCAGTGTTAAAACATAATTAATCTTTGCTTTAGCTGTAAACGATCAGAGTTTCATTTAGAGTTTATTCATGTTAACAGTTATTTAAATGCATGGAAAGGGGGAGTATGGGGTACCTTGCTGGACTCTAGAGTGGCTTGTCATGCTGAAGCAGATTTTAGCTTGGATCTCCAAAGGTTTTGTGCAGTCTGAGTTTTGAGTAGAGATTTGGCTTGGGTCGAACGACACTCTAGCTTCTACCATTATTATAGGCTTTGATCTGGGAAATTGAAGGAGCAGGAAAACATAGTTGGATAACTTCCGTCTTTCTGACCAATAGTCCAGCAAATCACATCTTAACTGCCTGATACAAACCATTACTGGTGAAGAGCTAAAATGTGTAACAAGAGGCTTAACTCATCTTTGCAGTAGAATTACACTTACCTGAGTAAGACAACACTGCCCTTTGAACCCACCGCTAAATCGGGCAGATTGTCACTACTTTGGTCAAAAGACGACTGGCTGATCGACATGCCGAAGAATTTTAGTCCTTGTTTGACTTCAGAGCCAGGGATCCTCTAAATAAATGGAAACATTTTGATTAGTTTTTGATATGGCGTAAGCCACAACTACTGGGTCATGTTTCTCGCGCACCTGTGTGTAGGTAGAACTGATCCTTTTCCTTATTCCACCTTCGCCGTGGAAAATGTAGATGCTGCCTTGACCGTCGTTCTCCAAAGGCGCTCCAACTGCCAAATCCCTAAGACCATCTGAGTCCAGATCCGGCAGTACAGCAAGGGAAGACCCAAACCTTCCTCTTTGAGATGCATCCCCTCTCAGTACTGATGGAGAATCTAAGTGGCACTCAACATCCTGGTAGAAATATAGGGATGAGTGTCAATGTTTGCATTGTATTTAAAGAAACCGATTCATTCAATGGCACCAGATGAAACTGTCATTTACCAAACGAGATACGGTGCAAACGTAAACCCTTCCCTCTCGATCAGAGTCAATGTACATTGGGGCGGATATGAGGATAAGGTCAGAGTATCCGTCTCGATTCACGTCCATCGCACAAACAACGGCACCAAAATATTCACCAACCTGAAACTGTGAAAGCAACAAATACATACATAAAACAAGAAATTGCTTTCTTTCAGGACTGTTGGATCATTTTGAAAGATAAGCACATACCTGCCCTCGAGAGGGGTCAATAGTTTTGTATTTCCGGTGGTTGTAAACTACCCTCACAACTCCTCGGTGTTTATATCTTGGAGCACCCATAATTGTCAATGTGCCTCTTGTCGTCCTGGCAACAGCCATGGAGTACCCTGAAATTAAAGCTCATTGGTCAAAAGTCTGAGAAAACTGTGCAGATCTTAGTTTTTTTAATTACCACTGCAGAAAATGAATATGCGCAATGCATTATTTAGAAAATATTGATCCCTACATAAAAACACTTAATTTAGATAGAGATCACCAGATTAAAAATTATAATCTTTAAACTATAAAGTATCATACATACATACAGACACTTTATTATCAGCTTCCGTTAAGACATTTGTAAAAACACAATACTGACTTTTTCTGACTGATAATGCTTTTTGAACAACAATAATATTAATAACTTAACAACAGAGAGGACACACATTTGCAGTGGAGCAGTACAAGTACAAGATGTACATTTTGAATTTGTATTTATATATATATATATATGTGTGTATATGTATTTAGCTTACCCACGTAACTGTCTTCCTCTATATTGGCCTCAAATGAGCCTGTCTTCTGGAGTGTGTCCATTGAGTATTGCAGGTAGCCTCCCTTCCACACATTCGCCCCAACCATACCGATCTGAACTCCCTTTAATTCAAACAGATGTTAAATTAAACAGGCTTTCCAAAAAAAAACATTCCACTATTTGCTAAACTTATTGAATGAAGTTAAAGAAGTAGTAAGTAACTTGTGTCCCAAACATCTCCCAAAAAACATGATGCATATTCTGCTTTCTATCAACATACGCTGATACAAAGAGTTACAAAGATACAAAGGCGTGTTCATCTATGTGTTTGCATTGTCCAGTGAATTTCAAGTGTGCTTTTTTATTACCCCAGGTACATAAACTGCACTGAATCCCTCTTGAGCCATTTCCATTTTCAGTGACTCTCCACCTGTTTGCGATCCTGTAATGGAAATAATGCATGAATTGGCCCAATGACCTCTCAATGCAGCATGATTCAATGGTCATGTCCTGATACCTACTTATATACAGTGTAATTCAAAAGAGAAGATTCATTACAAATCAAAGTCCATGCTTTGACTGAAGTTGTATGCAGGTTGACATTTCAAAGACATTTTCACCATCATAACTTTACCTTCAATAGCAAAGAGTTTGGCCTGCAAAGTCGCCCTTATTTTTTCAAGGGCGTCAAAGTTCTGCACTCGAAAAACATTTTCCGTGGGAGAAGATGAAATGGTGTCCAGTTCCTGTTTTGCTGCAGATGAGGCAAATGCGGACCCCACCTTGGAGATGTTAAAAACAAAGGTTTGAGATATTGTGCTGCGCCAAAGAGTGGATCACAACTTAATCCCAGAGTGGAACTGAAGAACTTACTCCAATAGCAAATCGAACAATTTTGTTTGTCTCAGCTAAGTCTGCTGAAGATTGGAGATGTTCCCGGTCGTGTGATTGTCCATCGGTGATGACTATCAAGACCTTTTTTGCATTGGGTCTGGAACCTTTTGTTGTGTTGAAAACATTATTGCTGTCAAAAGAAAGATGCAATTTCAAAACATGCTTGCATTATGCAGTATCAAATGTTAAATTGGGACAACACAATGCCTTACTTTTAACAATTTACACAGAAGATGAGAGTTTCGGACAATTTATTTTAATGCAGGAATACTGACCTAATAATCATCATCATCAATTACTATTTAGCTTTGATAAATGTAAAAAATTCTATCTGTTTTTTTAATCTTTTAGGATTTGGATTACTATTTTATTTTTTAAATATGTATACTGTAAATGTGTTTGAACAAAATTACAGTAACAGCAATTTGATAAAAAAAGGTTCCGACTCATGATCTGTAAAGAGTTAAAAGGTGTTATAGCTATAATACTTTTTAACTTTTGCTAGATGAATCACCAAAGATACCTGCTGTTTTGTCTGCCCCAATAAACACTGCCACTAAAATGTGCAAAAGTTGCAAAATGTTTAAACACATATCTACTCTAACGTGTTTGTAGGTCCAATTTAAGAAATGTTTTTATTTTTCCATCACACAATTCAAAATGCCTAAACCCAATGATGCTTTGACAGACTCAATACATTTTTACAATAAAAGAAAATGAATTCTGAAAAACGTTGCTCACAAATGGGAATTCAACATAATGATGACACTTACACCACAAACTCGATGGCTTTGGCTGTGTAAGTGGAACTTCTGAGTTGCCCAATGTTGTCAACTTTAGATTGCCATGATTGAGTTCCAGATAAGAAATCATTAAAGTAATAATGTACTTTAGGATCTTTAGAGAACTGGGAAATAGAAAACTGTGAGAATAGGAAAAACAAAAATTCAAGTTAATATCACAGTCAACGCATTTTAAAATTTACCTGTCAAATTTCTTGTAGAAATTATTAAGAATGGTTTTAAACTCTGAAAATCACTTCTCTGATTTTGTCATATGGTCAGTGTAAACATAAACGTACCCTTGTGTCAAGTGGCATGAGTGAGTCGACAACATTTCTCACAAATCTCTTCATTAATTGAAAGTCCGGATCGGAGACGCTGCCTGAACCATCCAATAGAAATGCAATATCTGCTAATCGGCACTCTGTCAAAGACATTTCAACAAATTTAAAAGTGAGTTGAATTTTTTTTTATTATATTAAGTCAGATAAAAGCAGCAAATTGGGACCCTATTTAATGTATAATAAGCTCTTTATCTTTCTCATACTGCCTGTGCTGCAGCACCTCTTTTCACCCTCTGTCTGAAACCAGAGCCCAGTCTGCTCTGATTGGTCAGCTGGCCAGCTCTGTTGTGATTGGTCAGCAGCTTAGAGATGTCCCGACCCTTAGCCTATCATGTACAATGTGTTGGAGCGCTAGCCAATAGAAGTGCAGATGTTACATAGTGATGTCATGATGTAACAGAAGTAAACAAAGGAGTCCAATGGAGGTGTTTCAGGCAGGGGGGGGGGGTTAGTCGGAGAGAGAAACTTCCTCTGGAGAAAATTGCGGATTTTAGCCTTTGCAGACCATTTACATGCACACAAACCTATAACACTACAGGAAATAGAAAACCCCCCAAAAGCCTAATAAGGCCCCTTTAAATAATACATTACTATAGGCTCATATAGGAACTTCTCTTTTGGCATGTGCTGATATTGCAGGTAGCCTTCTTTCCACTCATCACTACCAAAACGGCTATCTCAATTCACCTTTAAAAGTACACTATGTCATGTTCTGCCACTAGGGGTCTCTTACTCAAAACAATTCCAAAAGCTTAACAGCTAATCATGGAAGTCTGTCATTTCAGTCTTTCTCCTGTTTAGGATTTTATTGTTCAGGAGGTTTTTACCAGAAGCTGTATTATCCGCAGAGGTCTCCTCCTCTCCAAAACAAACATACCCAATGAGTAAATCTGATAAACCCACTGAATAAATCCAGCTTTTTAAATAAAATCTGTTTCCTGGGTGGAAGCATGAGGGGCTACAAGCTAAAGGCTAATACTAGCTCCGCTGTTAACTAAAGATTTAGATGCCAATGACCAAAACAGTTAGGGCTAGCAGTAAAGGTGTTGTAGTTTGTTTTTGTAATGTGTCAAGTTTGTCCAAGTTTCCTAGTATGCACCGTGACAGGTACAGACAGTATAACTGTATGCTACACCCATAAAATGTAGGAGTTTATTTTTGTTTTATTCTTATATGTACATTACAACCATTGTATGTGTAATTATGAGTGTGTCTGCTGACATCATAAAGGAAACAGACCTTACATCTGAATAAGTGATTTAGAAATATCTGTTCCCATGCTATTAATGGCAGTGTACTAACAATACTTCCATGATTTGCTCTCGTCTTTCATTAACCTGTTTTACAACATAGTTTATGGGTACATATGTCCATTTTCATGCAGGAAAAAGGATGAATTAAGGGCTCAACACTTTAGAAAAGCCTCTTGGTAAGTTACTACAACGATTCCTATACAAGTTGTGTTTATGGTTTATGGTGTTTAAGTCTTAGTGTGTCCATGTTTATTATTCCATATTTACCTTGTGCAGTAGAAGGTACAGGACCTTTGATGCCATTAGATCTGTCTATCTGCATGCATATACCGCTGTACATGGTGATACTTTTGCAGTCCGTTGGAATGGTTGGTCCACATGCCTGAAAGAGACAAAGTCCTGATTGATGAGTATTATGTTGCTATCGGTGTTGTCCTTTAATGAAATGTAAAGCAGAGAAAAAAAGATTTAACTGGTAGAATGACAAATAATAAGGATTTTCAGTTTACTTGCTCACCAAAGTGTTGTCTGTGGTTGGATCATTTGTCATTGTTAAACCAAGAGACATGTTGATGGCAAATCCTGGCAATGCATTGAAAAAGTCATGTTGAAAAAATATAATTGATCAACAAAACAACAGCCTCAGTCACAAGTCACAACTACAAACCCCTGCTGTCTCATGGAGAGACACCGCAGGTTCCTTCCTTCCTGCAGCGGAAGGAAGGAACACACACACACAACAACACAGACTATAACACCCCTTGCTTTTAAATACCAACCAACTATGTGCAATATGTGCAGTATATATGTATGCCTTTAATAACTACAGGATGTGTATTTTGTAAATTGTGTAACTTTGAATTTTTTATTAGATTTTTTATTATATCATAACTTTTTGTTAACTTAGTACTTTTTAATGCATGTAACATATGTAACATTAAGCTGTCTGTGGCTCTTTTTCTGCTGTAACAACGCACATTTCCCCTCTGTGGGACTAATGAAGGTATTTTGATTCGGATTCTGAAACCTCAGCAAAACTCCTTCCGGATCAAGCAGAAAATAGAATTTGAGAGAAAATAAATATTGTCTCCCAAATTCTATGTTTTGCTTGATGACTTCTTCATCTTTTTCGGAAAAACTGGATGAAAAACTGCTTTTGAGATTCACTAACCAGCCTTTTGTTTCTTGTTATTCGTTTGTGTAAACAGGTAATGAGAATCCTTTAAAAAATATATACTATTTATACTTGAGTTTAATATTTATGAAGCGTTTGGATAGTTTCTTACCTGGAATTGGTAGGGGACTGCATGATTCAGTTTCGGCGGAGCATTTAAATATTTTCCCCCTTTCTGTGGAAGACGACTGTGCAAGAGGAGCACTGACCAGCAAGCTGAGGAAACACAAGCAGACAGACATGTAACTGAGCAGTGTAGCTAAATGGGAAAACATTTAAAATGCTACTTGAGATTCAGCATTAGTGTGAGATACACACGATGGAAAAGCTAGAACACATTCTGCCTTATAGACCCATGTTCCACAACAACATCCATGCTTTGACTTACTCTGATGGCCTCTGCACAACCTGGTACCCAAAACCTTCGTAAGAGTTCTTCAGGGTCTTCCAAGCCACAGGATCGATGTTGAAACAAAGTGCAGCTTTTAACACTGAGGAACGAGCAGAAAAAAGAATAACGAAATCAAAGCCACTAAATGAAGAATGTTAATGTGACATTAACACTTGTTGTGTATATAATTAGCTAATAGAAACATGTATTGTATGTGCTGCTTTCCAAGATGTTGAGGCCGGTTTGGTCTCAAAACCACTTTTTTTTAACATTTTGATGCATGTTGGACTCTGAATTGTCTTAGTCTTGAGTTTTACGTATAGTAAGGAAGTGTTTTGGTCATTGACCTTCATTTAACATTGCAACATTTTCTATTTATACCTATGTTGTAACTAATCTGTTGCCTGCATTTACAGTAACAGGCTCTGATCACCACTGTGTGGGTGTGATTATGCATGAAATCAATGGAATAACATTGTCAGGACGCTAGGACTCTGTATGCCCTCACTCTTTCCTCAGATTCGACTGGACCTATTTCTTCAACTTGACTTTGACTTGATTAAGTTGGTCTTGACTAAAGCTCGGCTGCCTTTAGTAGCCTAAATGTAAAAGTGATGTGGATTTATATCTGCCATGTTAACAAACAAAACCACCAGGGAGCGTCAGTGTAATACATTTACAAATAAATTCAACTTCAAAAGTAAAGATAAAGACACAAAGAAATGATTTATGTTTAAAAAATATAATTTCTACATGAGCAGAAAATGAAGTAACCCTTGCTCTGTGTGAGTTATAGCCACATTTAGAGGACCTTCAATTGTAGTTCAATACTGTTTAAAATAAATAACTGACACTACCTAGAGACTACATTATAGGGCAATCTAGGAGGTCTATATTTCATTTTGACCCTTCATTTTACATTTCCTGACTTCGACTGATTTGCGTTGCACAAATGAAGTCTTCCGTTTTTCCTTTTTTGGCCAACATGAGGTTTTCTGTACAATTGTACTCACTGGCGTATTACTTCTTCATGGTTTCTCAAGTTTAAAAGAGATGAATATAAATAGAAACAATGTGTTGAACTACCTTAACTTCTCTGATCTTATACATGTGTTAAAGGTAGTAATTTTGGAGAAACCAGCTCGAGTGCGCTAGAATGTGAAAATAGACCACCTGTGAAAATCTGCCACTTCTTTACAGAGCCCCTCCTCCAACAAACACGAACGCGCACATGACCAATGAGGGCACGAGATCAGTTTGTGCACAGATGGAAGGCTGACAGGCAGGTAGGCCATCCAGTTATTTTAGCCGGGCCGGCTCAGATGATTGGTCGTGCTTTTTACAGCGCTACGGCTTCCACAGATGACATTTATGGATTTTTTGTCAAAGCACTTCAGATATTCATTGCTATCGGGATGTTAAGAGCATGGTATATAACAAAAAGTGTATCTCGAGCCGGTTTCTCAAAATTACCTACCTACCTTTAACTTCTCTGATTGTGTTAAACCTCAGGCAAACCCCAACCTCTTGATTATGATGTACATTCAAAAGTCTGACGAAATAACATAATAATCTTGTTGTAATAGCTTCTAACCCTAACCCATATCATTTGTATCAGATTAAATCACCATAGGTTCTGCTTTTACTTGTGACCAGTATAGCCTTAGTTGGGTAACAGCAGTCTTTGACTTCAGAATGACACAAATACTGCAATATATGTCATGCATTTCGGTTGTGTTAAAACACAGCATTGTGAGAGAACAGAAATTCATTTAGTGAGATAAAAATGTTAGATTGTCACTCAATAAATATAAACAGAACTCTCTATGTATCACCAGCAACAGAAGCTATCAGTAAGGCGGCAGCAGGAAGTGGCCCTGCCCTCCTACCCCCTGCTGAGAATGAGATACTTAGGATAGTGCTGTTTTTATTGCATATTTTTATTACATAATAATTTGCTCATATAATGTCTTGTTCTGCTTCTCATGCCTTCCTGACTGAACTTCTAGCTCCAGTTTTAACAAATGGATACGTTGCTTGGAATTTTTGACTTCTGTTTTAACTGGTGGATTCATTTTGTTCCTTGTTGAGCTGGACTGAAGTTTAAGCTTCTGTTTAACCTGCTTTTGTGAATTTATTTTGTTTTTATTTTATTTCTAGATTAAAAGCGTAGATAAATGTACACCTTTTATCTCAACCCCCCAAGTCATGTTAATTTATAAATGCATAATAAGACTTAGCAGTTTATAGGTCCGACTCATTGGTAAAAGTAACAAATTGCATAAAATGCTGTTTATTTTTGCCTCTCATATTTCAAATGTCATGCTTTTCTCTGTTTTACATCATCAGATACATATCTTTGGGTTTTGGACTAACAAAACAAGACACTTTAATACATAACAGTAGATTTTTAGGAACTGGGATGTGGCCATTTTAAAAGACTAAACGATTAGTTAATCCAAAAAAGATTATAGATAACGGAAATAATAACTATTAATGATACCCTTTATTCATATAGGAGGTGTTCATCATTTCACCCTGTTCACTTTTACTAATAACATACAGACTATAACTTTATGATAATACATTTCTATGATTTCAGCATGCTGTAGGAACGTAACAATGTATTAAATGACAGGATTGTTTTAACAGCTGCCTTAAAGATCTATAAAGAGAGACACAATCAGAAAGTATAAACTTGTCTTACCTGACAAAAGTATGAAAATGATCCAGTCCATTGTGTTATTCCCATGGAAACACTAAACGTGTAAAATATTCTGAGCTCATAGACATTTATTGAAAACTTTTTTGCTTTCTGGCTGCCTAGTTACAATTTGTACCACTGCAACTGTCAAGGAGGGGGATGTTGAAAGCAAAATGCAGAAATCACAAGGTGACAGCTCGGGGGAAGGCAGCCACTTAGAGGAACTCTTGTGTAGGAGGCGTTGCAGCATATATATATATATATATTTTAATATGAGCACACCATGTTGTCACTTGATTGCACTGTTTAATTTGATCCAGTCAATACCCACGCAATCTCACACCTACACACTTCTAAATAATAACCTATTTTTGTAACTTGGTAGAATAGTGGAGTGTATAATTATCCTTATTTGCATGCAAGGCTGATGAATAATAATTCAAACCTTACCCTGTCCTTTAATGTGCTGCTAAATTCTTTTAGAAAAAATACTTTTCAACAAACCTTGAACGTAGTTTTATCACTTCAAATATCCACAGTAAAAGAAGGCCTGTTCCTTCTTTCTAACAGGGTTGTTGGTGTTTATAAAATTTTCTCATAGAGCATGAAGAGAGGAGGAAGTTACATTTCACATCGTTCGACACATTAAATTCCTCATATGGCCCAACCTCACTGTGATCAATGCGCACACAGTGAATGTTTGCATATAAGCTCACTCTCAAAAACCAAACCCAAAAATAAGAATGTCCATTTCTCCTTTTTACATGACTTCCTCTGCACTGTCTGGTCCCTGTAAGCCTGTGTTCCAGTTTAATAAGTGCCTAGAATGACAAGTTGGTAGAATAGTATTTGGTCTTTATGTATATACCTGTTCATATATGGATTTTAAAAAAGACAGAATATTCTACATGGTGCCTACTGTGACATTAAAACCAATATATTTATGCACGATAACTTATTCTCAAAAAACTGATAAAGTCGACCTGCCAGACACATGATAAACCGATGTAACTCAAATGATCTATTTCTATTGAAATAGCTTTGCGTGTTTACTCTTTTAGCTGCCAGCCGGTTCAGGAAGCTAGCCTCTTCCTGCCACTGCTCACCAAAGATAAAACCAAATATTTAGACCTTTGTAAGGTGCAAAATGTCACATCTTTTTATATGTGTGACTTGTGCTCTGTGTCTACCTATCTGAAGGGATAACATAAAACAGATATAAAGTGCTCTGCAACCTGACTATCTGCAACCTTTGCCAAGCTTGCCAATTCACCCTTTCCTGTCGAGCAAGGGTGATCGGGAAAGGTCAGAGAAAGGTCAAGGATCAGAGCACTGTGTCGCCGTGTCTGGGTCTGATTTCTAAATTCAGGTTAGCAATGTTGTCACATGCTCTCTGTGTGAGACTGCATGTGTGTTGCACTTAAGTTATCTTGTGTTTCATCCACATACCCTTTGTAATGGCCTCTGGCTGCTGGGAGGCTTTTCCCAGATGAGACAGCACATTTTTAAACAGAATGTCATAATCAATGCTACATACAATAACAATGCCTTAAACTACAATGCTCAGGGGGCCATTTGAGCATGGAAGAAGAAGCATGCTTTTGCTTGTGGATAACTCAGGAAATTAAGACTTTAAAGTAAAGCAATCTCTCTCAAATGCTCTGGTTATTATTTCCTACCCATCTACCTGCACACTTTACCACATTTCTACTTGTTTATCCCTATACATCCCTCCCTTTCTTTGCCATTCACCGAAACACTCTTTGCCCTTTGACTGGCTGCTCACCACAATGTTACTCCAGCCCAAGTCGCTCTGAATGTCACGAGCCATCTCTGGTTGCGTCCTGATCTTTTTATAGCCGGGCAGCTGAAATGTGAGGGGTCACAATGCGAGGATAAATACAAGGGCCAGCAGAGTGGAGGGTTGTCGCAGACGAACGCCGGATCTTCTCCCTCCTTTTCTCTTCTCTCAGCTCTCCTCCTAACCTCCAAGGTAAAACTAAACTAAACTGAAGGTTTCAAACAAATATGAGATAAATGCAATGTTTTAATTGGCTTTTTGTGCTACCTGTTGATTTTTCTTTCTTATAAAGCATGAAGTGCATGACGTTTTCCCTTTTCTATGAAGGCTAAACATACTAAATGCGAGGCACATTTAACTCACAGTGATGTCCTCTTACCTAACTCTAAATTAAAAGATCTTTGTAGAGGCTTTTCTGAGACACTAAAAACTGGAAGTGTTATAAATAATACACTCAGTATTCTCCTTACTTCACAATACTGAAAAGTTTAGTTCGTCTTTTTCCGTGCATCACTGCTGGCTGCAACACCCTTCTTTATCTGATGAAAACTTTCCACTGCATTGTTTCCGTGTGGTCAGAAGTGACTCACTAATCTTATTAAGCTCTTATTCAAAACTGTTTAAATTGTTCCAAGTCGTCTTTTATTGTTCTTCCTTTACAGTACATGCCTGCTGAAAATAGGGTAGTGAAACTGAACCATTCTCTCTTATGTAATGCCTTCTTGCTGAGCCATGGTGCTTGATAAAGTACACTGTGTTTATATTTAGTCCAGTCAATTGATAGTGGAGGCGCAGGCGAGGGTGAACAGGAGGTGTGGGATAGAAGAGCGGGGGGGGAATGGGAAAAGAAAGGTCAGGGATAAGAGGCTAGAAAATGGAATAGGTCAACCGCATGCTTGTCATGTTTTTTCAAGGGTGGTCGGATACAGTATGTGATGGGTGGGGTAGAGGAGGGCTCTCTGATACTGATCCCCTTTGCAGCTGCATATTGTGCTTGGGGAATAGTGCCTAGCCCCAGCTCATAAAGTATTCGGGTTACTGGAGCAGTTATAGCTGCAACAACTGCAGTCTCACGGTGGGGTCACCAGCATGTCTCCTTTTTATAGTCACCGAAGACAGACAGGAAAACATCAAAGCATGTTGTCAGGCCTTTACTGCACCGCTTCCTTCATATAGTAAACCAAAAGTTTTGTTTCCTTTTCATGAAGCAGGTTCCAATGCATTTGAAACTATAACCACAACCCCAAATGTCAGGTTTACACGGCTTGACATTTCGTTAAATTTTTCACCTTGCACATAGTGGAACCCATCTGATCTCCCTAATATTTTCTTAATTTCTAATTTTTTGTAATTCTCTCAGAGTCAGGATGCCTCACGCATACCCCTTCCTCACTCCTGAGCAGAAGAAGGAGCTCAGTGACATTGCTCACAAGATCGTCGCTACCGGCAAGGGTATCCTCGCCGCAGACGAGTCTACCGGTAAATCATTTTTTAAGAGAATGTACTTTTTATTGTTTAAAGGATCTCCTATCATGCACAAATTCACTTTTTGATGTCTTTTATACATAAATATGTGTCCCCGGTGTGTCAGGGAACTCAAAGGGTCAAACAAAACCTTCTCTCTTTTCCTCCGTACCCAAATCTCTAAAAACGGGGGTACAACGGAGCTGATCCAGATTTGCTTCCGATATGACGTTATATCGGAAATGTGGGCTGGCCTTACGCTCACAGCCCTATCAGAAAAGTCGCTATCAGAAACAATGCGTGATGTGTTTTGGATGTAATATGGTCTTTGTTTACATTAGCAAGTACGCTAACACTCAGAGCTAAGCTGTACTGGAGAGTATGTGTAAAAAATCAGGATATAAAAAAGTACTCACCCACCTTGTGGTAAACCCGCAAGAGAAAAAGCATTTGAGCCCCATGTTTTTTATATATTTTTATATATCTGAGACCCATAATATATGCCTAAAAATAGCATGATAGGAGATCTTTAAAAGTCAATAAGAATGGTGAAAAACTGGTTCGATTATGACTTTGACATTTCTTAGAATTCAAACTTTTCTAATGCAAATGCTCAAACAAACTGTAGTGAAGTGAGCAGATGGATCAAGTCTTCATTCATCATATTTTTCCTCAACTTCCAGGAAGCGTGGCCAAGCGTTTCCAGAGCATCAATGCTGAGAACACCGAGGAGAACAGGAGGCTGTACCGCCAGCTCCTCTTCACCGCTGATGAACGCATCAAGCCTTGCATTGGAGGCGTTATCCTCTTTCACGAGACCATGTACCAGAAGACCGACGACGGCAAGCCCTTCACCCAGTATCTCAAAGAGAGAGACATGGTGGTGGGCATCAAGGTCGACAAAGGTGTTGTCCCCCTGGCCGGAACCAACGGCGAGACAACCACCCAGGGTGAGCGAAGAACCGATAAACAACCAAAGAGTATTTACGTCTTTTGACACCTTTGCCTAACTTATCTGCTCTATCCTCCCTCTTTCGCAGGTCTTGATGGACTGTATGAGCGTTGCGCCCAGTACAAGAAGGATGGTGCTGACTTCGCCAAGTGGCGCTCTGTGCTGAAGATCACCCCCACCACTCCTTCCAGGCTGGCCATCGTTGAGAATGCCAATGTCCTGGCCCGTTATGCCAGCATCTGCCAGATGGTAAGACACAACAGACAGACGTTGAAATCAGTGTAAGGTCTGGACAAGTTCCACGTTGGTTTTATAAGCTACATTCTAAACAAGTTATCAGTAGAAGAAAAAAAAATTCTTCTCAAAAGTCTATGTGGCTATGATGAATTTCACAGTGGCCCCAAAGCTCCATTACCTTCGTCTAAATGCTCTAATTGTATCATTAAAAACAATCTGTATTAGTCAGATTAGAAACATGTCGTCTCTAATGCCCTGTTTCCACTGCATGATATGTCTCGGATCTACTCTTTTTTTAAACTCAAATCATAATCTCTTATTCCAATGTTAACCTTCTCCCATGTTGCTGGCACAATCGTTTTTGACTCCTTTTGTCTCTGCCATCCTCAGCACGGCATCGTCCCCATCATCGAGCCTGAAATCCTCCCCGACGGTGACCATGACCTGAAGCGCTGCCAGTACGTCACTGAGAAGGTCCTGGCTGCCGTCTACAAGGCCCTGTCCGACCACCATGTCTACCTGGAGGGAACACTGCTCAAGCCCAACATGGTTACCGCCGGACACTCCTGCTCACACAAATACACCAACCAGGAGATCGCCATGGCCACCGTTACTGCCCTGCGTCGCACTGTGCCCCCTGCAGTCACTGGTAAGCAGGATGCACACAATACTGCCTTGTTGAGTTGCACACATTTTCCAACTTTGCTAGCAGCACTAAACACTCATGCTCTTCCTCTTTAGGCATTACCTTCCTGTCTGGTGGCCAGAGTGAGGAGGAGGCCTCTGTCAATCTGAACGCCATGAACCAGTGCCCTCTGCACAGGCCCTGGGCCGTGACCTTCTCATACGGCCGTGCCCTGCAGGCCTCTGCCCTCAAAGCTTGGTGCGGCAAGAAGGAGAATGGAAAGGCATGCCAGGAGGAGTTCATCAAGAGAGCTCTGGTATGTATGAATAATATTATTTAAAAGTTTGTACGTCTATAAAAAAGTGTTGTGTTACACAGAAGCCGCAGTAGAGTGTTCATAGAACTGTAAGGACTGCAAGCAACCCCTTTCTGTATTGTGCATTAAGAAATACTGTGCTTTTTGTCCCATACAGGCTAACAACCTGGCCTGCCAGGGCAAATATGCTCCCTCTGGAGCCAGTGCTGCCGGCGCAGACTCCCTGTTCGTGGCCAACCACGCTTATTAAGCATGGACACTCACCGTTTCCCTCTTCGCCTTCTTCCCATTATTAGTACCACCATCACCATGAAAAAGTCCATGTCACCGATTGTGAAAATGCTTTTAAAGACCAGCACTCGTACAGGATATTGGTAGAAAGCGAAGGAGAAGACCTTCCATTTGGGTACTGCTGCAGCCAGGAGATTCGGAAAAGATGTTCTGCCTCCATTCCCTTTCCTTTTATTTTTAAAACGTTTAAACCTGTTTTCAGGTGAAGATTCCCACATTGTTTTTACACAACTTGTACGATTTATTTTGAATTCACCAAGTGCAGTATATGATTAATACTGGTACCATGGAATAAAGAATTTGCCCTAACCGTATGCTTTACATCCTTTTTGAGTCCTTGCTAAACATTATTTCATGCAAACAACAGTTCAAAGCTGGAGCCTACTTGGGCTTGTAATGTTAGCCTGAAAATGCTGAAAATGTTTAAGCGGTCTGTAGAGTGATAAGAGAGGCAACAAATGCATTGGAATAGATGTGACGTTTCATTTCAGGTTGCAGGCTGACAACAGCACTTTAATTTAAAACTGCAGGTTGCTACAGTAATTAATGTGATATTTCATCAACGAATACCCTATATGCAAAGTTTATGTTGCAACAACATTTCAGAAACATCTCTCTCCTAGTGGGAATGCAACGTGGTTTAATTAATCTCTTAAGTGGCTAACACAAGAAAGAAAAGCATGCACTAACCAGATCAAGATCTTTAATGAAGAATTTCCCATGACAATGTTTGTCATGGGAAATTCATTCTGGTAAACCACTATCACCACTATGGCCAAAGGGGCCACCAACATCAACAGAAAATTAAAAGATCTTTGTAGTGGCTTTTCTGAAATAAGAGCTATAATTGCAAGTTCATGCTAACTACACACTTCAACATGCTAACGCTAAAATGTGCTAACATGCTTCCAAAACAAACATGTTCATGCTCCTAGCAATACTACTACCAAAAAAAAGCTTGGTTGTGACCCGGCATACAAAGGCACAGTAGCCTACTTTATGCACAACCATGAGTGTAATAAGAAAGCTCAGTTCCCATAGCTGTATTCTTAATTATCATTCACTATAGGAAAGCCATTATTGTGGTAGGTTACATGTCTTGAAGCGAGTCGTGCTCCACCTTGGCCACAATGACTGTTCAGTTCCATGGTGTGAAGTTACATAAAACTTAAATATTAGGCTATATTGTTCATATCTGGAATCAAAAAATATAAACAGGATTGTGACCTTTTTCGATAGAGAAAAACAGACCATGTTTTATTATTTGCTTTAATACAGGGTGTTGTAGTGCAACTGATAACAAGAATGGCTCTATACCATTAGCTATTACAATCATATTTTAAACAAGATGCATGTTGAATTAAGTTTGTAAGTGCAAAAAACCTTTCCACAGAGACAAAACCATGCTCTAAAACTACAGCGATGGAACTGATGTAGTACATATAAGTAGAATGTTAGTCAAACAATTTAAGAGACAAACATAACCCAACACAACAGAAAAGGACATTGAGAAGTTGCTAGCGCATTACAGCACTATGGAGCTACAGTGTGCTGCAGGAACACTGTCCCAACAATGACAATCAATGTAAGCTCAGTAAAAACAGTTGTTGCTGTGGAAGTCGTATTTCGACACTCAAAACTGTTGTCTTGGTCAGTGCCGTCGGAGGTGAAAGTCACAAAGTTTACCTTCGCCCCCGCCACTTTATCTATTATCCAAGTCTCGAACTCAGACACTCGGGCGAAGACTTCAGGGAAACCAGCTGTAGCACACGGTATTCCAAAACTGGCAATGCCAGACTGGATCCATATTGAGGATTGTTTGCATTGCAAAGGACCACCGGAGTCCCCCTGAAAAGAAGGGACAAAACACAAACTGTTAGATGATTGTCGTTTGATTTGGGTGCAACAACATCATATTTCTCTTTAATTTGTTTCTCTCTGTGTCCTCTGGCTGCTTTGCCTCAACTCTCTGTGAGAATGTGGCTTCTTAAGCAAAATTGTTAACTTTAACAAGTTTTTGTTCAAAAGTAATGTCCTTAAAAACAAATGCACAGTCGGGGCAAACAAAAAAAACAACACATCTTATATTGTGTTGCTTTAATAGCAACAAAGAAAATTAGCACAGCTAATACAAGGGATTGTTTTTACAACCTGACATATGCCTTTGTTCTCTTGTCCCGCACAAATCATTTCATTAGTGATGTTAATTTCTGAGCGGTAGATGCAACCGCACTGCTTTCTTCCAACGACAGGAACCTGAACCTCTTGCAGCGAGTAAGCGCTCGGTAAGGCCTCTGTGGGAGAGAGAGTAAAAAATCAGAAGACAGATACACTTTTAATTTTCCTTCTTTTGCACAGTCTTAAGGGATTTTTTTCGTATTCTGGGAGAAGCTGAACAAGACTCAACAAGTCTTCTGATAATGCAATTGTTTTTGTACCTCAAACGTTAATAATTGGCAGGGGTGGGACTAGCAAAAAATGTGTACGGCGCAGTGGACTAGTGCGGTGGTGTTCGGATCAGGGGAACACAGGTTCAAACCCCACTGCAGTCAGCATGTCGTTGTGTCCCTGAGACACTTCACCCCAAATTGCTCCTGTGGGGATTGTCCACAGTATTGAGTATGTAAGTCGCTTTGGATAAAAGTGTCTAACAAGTCAAATGTAATGTAAGAGGCTGTCTGTTAGCAAGACAACTAGTTTCCAATAGTTCTACCCAACCAAACTAAAACAGAAGTTCTGCTTCAATGTTCATGCTAATGTTTTTATGCTAGGGTTAGCATGTTAGCATACAAATACTCACCATCCTTTCCTAGTTGGCCCCAACCGGTGCCCCAGCAGGAGGTGGAGTTGTGAAACTGGCTGGAGTTACTCGCCAGGCATACAGGTCTGATGTAGTCATTGAAACTGACTGCGCTGCTGAGCTTCATCAGGGCGATGTCGTTGTTCAAAAATGTGTTATTGTAGTCCGGATGGACGATGATCTGGGACACAGTGCTGCTAACCTCATGAACATTAGGGCCGGACTGAGTCTCTCTTCCAAAGTAGAGAGTATATGAACTAGGTGTGACACTGGAAAAGAACGGGGAAATGAATAAAGACTTCTACTGAACACATTTTGACATAAAGAAATGTATGGTTGCACATTGTCAGGGTTTGTAATTTTAAGAGTTGCAGGGTCCTTTTACACTTGTTTTATGTGAAAAGGCATTTGGTGTCTGGAGGTTAAGGTGGTTAAAAGTCTGTACCAAGGGTTACAAAACAACGTAATGTTAGCTTGGTTTTTTGTGTTTCTGCATGATGTGGCATTTTTAGAGAATTTTTGTTTTGTTTACCTTTACTCTTTGTTTACTGTTTAACAACAAAGACAGCCTTTGTGAATACCATTGTAAACTCATTACACAGAATAAAACACTCTACTGCACATGTGTCAAATTCAAGACCCAGGGGCCAAATCAGGCCCTTGGTAGATTTAATTTTGGCCCGCAGAATAATTTCTATTTACTATTAAATCTGGCCCGCCGGTATATTGCACGCA